CCCATGCGCCAATCATTGTTTATTTAAGCTATTTAAGTTCTTGAAAGTAGATAAATTGAGTTCTTGATGGATTTTGTTGAAGTTTAAATTGGGTTCTTAATTGTTGAGTTCTGGAGAAGTTCTTCAGTTAGATTCATGAGATTTGAAGTTAGTTTTGAGTATTCTTGTATACTTTGGTTGGGTATTCGAATCTAAGTGTTTGGGGAAAGAACCAACCAAATCTAGACGAAATAGGGTCGAAAAACGAACAAGAAAATTCATCAAAAATCTAGGGAGAAGGGGTGGGACGCCACACCACATAACTGTCTGCGGGTAGGGCTCTGGGGCGCCGCGCCACTTATAGAGACCCAACCCTAGTTCTGTACTTTTACCTCTGGCATCGACGCCACTCAGAGCGCCATGGTCGCCAAGGCTTCTACCCTTTCCCATTACTTTCAGTTTGAGTTTCCTTGAATCATATGTATGATTTCTAGTTTGTTTCTACACTCTAAGGTACGTCTAGACATCATGATATCATCCATAAAAATGAATCATAACCTTGAATCCATAATTCAAATTCAAGGAAAGTTAAGAGCCATGTCTAAAGAGTTCTTAGAGTCTTTTCAAGAAGTCTTTTGCTAATGCTTTAAACTAGTTTTAAGACTTGAGTTAAGACTTGACTAAAGAGTAAAGAGTGAAGTTCATTTCTTCAAAATAAAATTATATGGGGACTATGTATTCCCAAATAGTAAATTATTTTACATTTAAACAAGAAAGGAAACACCGATTTCCAAAAGAGCCTTTGAACAAGTTTTCAGTAAAGAGTATTTGCTTTTACAATTAAGCAAGATTGGAAACACTAATTTCCTAGAGAGCCTTTGGGCTAGTTTTTGAGTAATCATCTTAAACCGGAGAAAGAGTTATGCTTTTAAACATATGATCTTTTTGTATTTTGGGAGTAGTATTGAGCATTGATAGGGGGAGAGTTCAGAAAACTCCCAACTCCCATAATCCATGCAAACATAATGGGTAGAATAGGGTCATACTTTTGATATGATTCCTTAGTGCCTTTTAGCATAGACTGGTAGATCCACTTAGTAGTTAGGTTCTATACCCTAGGCAAGGTATAGGAAGGGCCTGACAGCGTGAGGTAAAGCGTTGTATCATCACATAGCTCTTTAGTGATAGTTGTTTGTTAAAGAAACTCCCACAAAAGTATTTTGTATTCTTATATAAACAGATATAAATGTATTTTTTAATATAAACAGAATATATATTGTAACTTTGCATACAAATTGAGTTACTATTGTATTTCTCAATACACAGCTTTGTTAACCATGTTTTTAAATCTTTTCTGTATATTGCATTTACTAAACTACTATAGATTGAAATGGGTTCAGTTGACTTGAGTTGAGACGAGGTTTGTTCTTTCAGTTCCCTTTTCAAGATTATGTCATCTTGTAGAATTCCCCTCACATGCTCGTACATTCAATGTTCTGATGACAGTTGAACTGGATCTTTTTATGTTGCATATATTGGTAACCAGGATCAGCATCTAGCGCATCGTTCATTCTAGTTGAGCTTTAGAGTTGTTGGTGAGCCTCCTTGCTTCCAGACGACCTTTATTGCTTTTTAGTTAGTTAATTAGGACATCGTGGGTCTTGTCCCGACGTCCATCTTAGTTGTTGAAGTTAGTTCTAGAGTCTTTCCATTCCTGTTTTGATGTTTGAGACTTGAGTACCATTTTGGCTAGTGAATGTTTCTTTATACGTTCTAAGTTATTTATTGAAATTCCAGTTTACTTTTAAATTATTTTTTATCATGAGTAAGCCTTCCTCTAAGAGTTAATTTACCTTGGTTTATTAAATTTGTTTATTTGGATGTTGTGACAACTCTAAACACATACAACACTATCAAGCATGACTCATTTGTAAAAAGTAGGCATTTCATCAGGAAAATATATTTTTATTTGAATCTTTCAAAGTTAAAGTTGAAATTAGAGTTTTGTTTCACAAAAAAGTCATGTGATGTGTAGGACATGTTCATATTTTTTTCTTTGTTTGAGTTACATTGTGGAGGGTAAATGGCCACTCGATCTCTGAAGCAAAACGGACGATAGTCCCACAAGGTAAAACATAACCTTTTTTCACTAAGTTCCTACGAACCTGTAGCAAGATTAGAATTCAAGAGTTTATTTTTTTACTTTTGTCTGAATATCGAGACGAAAATTTTATGGTTTTAAGAATAAATTTATAAATATGAATTATATAAAAAGTATGATAAATTATTATAAGTTATGATTCAAAATATTTATAAGATAAGAAAAGTTATGTCGAAAGAATCATTTTAATCTCAAAATTTAATGTTGCTATACAAATTGAGATGAAAGAGGATATTGTACCTTTGCTTAGTATGTACACCTTCAATTTGCATTTGATGTTTGTCAGATTTTTACTTATGACATAGAGTCTACGAATGTACAAAAAACATAGTAATGTTGTATTTATAAATACTCATTAAATTAAAGATTTGTTAAATTAAATAAATAAATAAATATTTTCTAAAAAGAGATAAAAATAACAATAAATCAATTAATTGAAATGGAGGAAGTATTTTTTTAATCCAAGTCGATTGTTCATGCCAGCAAAGCGTCTGCATTTGACTTTTTTATTCATGGCAAAAGGCAGACATTTATTTTGGGATGATTAGAGTGGGTTAAGTGTTTGACTTTTTTAACATAAATTTTATATTCTTATTTATATTAATCTTTTGCCCCTTCTGACATGAAAAATATAAAAGTCAAAGTTGTTAATATGTGATTTAACACATAAAAGGGTGACTAATTTGGTCCAGTAATATCCCATTAGATACGTGAGGGGCCAAGGTGGGTAGCTAGACTTGTCTAGTGTGGTTTACCAAAAGATCTTTTTTTATTTTACTTAAAAAGATATGTAAAATAATTTATATTAATACTCTATTGAATATCTTTCTTTAGGATGGACAAAGGTTATCAAGCTCGTACGTACATGATGATTATAAAATAAATAAAGTAGTGTTCAACACCTTAAAGTACATAAAGGAGTGTTCAATATTAGATTCTTTCAACAAGTTTCAATTTTCTTACCAGAAAAGTAATGACTTGTTCTATATCATTAAGTGACTAGATTAAGAGAAAATCTTGACAATTTACTCAAAATATTGTCTTCCCCCTTCATTAACAATAGAGTACTTGCAACACCCCGCTAGTTGAAAGAACTAGAAATAGAAAGAAACCATTTTTGGAAAGATCAAATATGGAAAGTTTGGCAAGTTTTGCTAAGTTTGAGTTTTGGGTAAACTTCAAACGACCATAACTCTCAGTACATGATAAGTTAGGAGTTCTATTAGAAAGCCAATGAAAGGTGACGAAATTATCTTTCTAACATCACCGAGTTTGCATTTTTTCGAGTTCATTGAAGGAGATATGCCCGTTTGATGTTGGGGCTCTCTAATATGGAAAGTTAGCCGGATTTTAAAGGGGTATTTTGGTCTATTCATTACCCAATTAATTAATCCATTTTTACTAATTTATTTTGGGTCAAAACTGATTTGGTTCAGTTTAATTTTATAAAATTACGCTAGGGTTTTGATAGAAGAGAAAAGAGGAGAAGAAGCCAAGGAATCGTAACGTTCTTGAAGTTTAGCTCGTGGATTTCATCAATGGTTAATCCCCATGAGTTATGTGATATCACATAGCGTTGATTTTATTCACCCACGCGCCAATCATTATTTATTTAAGCTATTTAAGTTCTTGAAAGTAGAGAAATTGAGTTCTTGATGGATTTTGTTGAAGTTTCTATTGGGTTCTTAATTGTTGAGTTCTTGAGAAGTTCTTGAGTTAGTTTCATGATATTTGAAGTTAGTTTTGAGTATATTCTTGTATACTTTGGTTGGGTATTCGAATCTAAGTGTTTGGGGGAAAGAACCAATCGAATCTAGATGAAATAGGGTCAAAAAACGAACAAGAATATTCATCAAAAATCTGGGGAAAAGGGGTGGGACGCCGCACCACATAATTGTCTGCGGGTAGGGCTCTGGGGCGCCGCGCCACTTAGAGCGATGCAACCCCAGTTCTGTACTTTCACCTCTGGCGTCGACGTCACTTAGAGTGCTAGGGTCGCCAAGGCTTCAACCCTTTCCCATTATTTTTGGTTTGAGATTCCTTGAATCATACCTATGATTTCTAGTTTATTTCTACACTCTAAGGTACATCTAGACATCATGATATCTTCTAGAAAAATGAATCATAACCTTGAATCCAAAAATTCAAATTCAAGGAAATTTAAGAGCCATATCTAAAGAGTTCTTACAGTCTTTTCAAGAAGTCTTTCGTAAATGCTTTAATCTTGTTCTAAGACTTGAGTTAAGAGTTGACTAAAGAGTAAAGAGTGAAGTTCATTTCTTAAAAAAAAAGTATATGGGGACTATGTATTCCCAAAGAGTAAAATGTTTTACATTTAAACAAGAAGGAAACACCGATTTCTAAAAGAGCCTTTGAGCAGGTTTTCAGTAAAGAGTATTTGCTTTCACAATTAAGCAAGAGATGAAACACTAATTTCCTAGAGAGCCTTTGGGCTAGTTTTTGAGTAATCATCTCCAACCGGAGAAAGAGTTATCCTTTTAAACATATGATCTAGTTATATTTTGGGAGTAGTATTTGTTGAGATACTCAGTAGTCTGTTATAAGTTCTTATCAAGTTGTTAAAGTAGATATCATTTGATTCAATCTTTTCCACAAGATTAGATTAAGTTGTTAAAGTAGTTCCTTAGATTTAGTCAAGTTAGTTACATATTAAGTTGTTAGAGTAGTACCTTAGAATTAGTCAAGTTAGTTACAGCTTACTGGTATTTAAGTTGATGTTACGATTGAATAAGATCATTTAAGTTTGCTTTGATTCTCAATCTCTTTATGGTTTCAGAGCCCCTCTAAAACCCCCACGAGTCTGATCCATTTTTTTTTATCTCCCTCTTTGCGTCCAAACATGGTTGTTCCTACTACCACCAGTGACACTGCTGTTGCAGTTCTGACTACCACTCATGTGGTACAGTTCAACCCAGTTGCCCAATCACCTACCAAACTACAAGGTAACCTCAACTTTGCCACCTGGATGGCCCAACTAGTGATGCTACTCAATGGACACAAGCTCCTTGGGCATCTCAGTAGTGCCAAATCTGCTCCCCCTACAACTATCACACACACTGATAGTACCATCTCAAATATTGAATATGAGATATGGTTTTTCCAAGACCAACTAATTCAACAAGCAATGATGGCATCTGTTGACCCCACTATTGCTCCCACTATTCCAATTGCCTCTTCGGCAAAAAATAGCATGGGATCTCCTTCATACAGCGTATGCCAATAGGAGTCACACTCGCATCTTCAGCTTGCAAGATCAGTTGCAGAACTTGAAAAAGGCCTCCAAGACAATTGCTACTTACCTACAGGAGATCAGATCAATTGTTGATGCTCTCAAAGTAGCAGGCTCTTCGGTGGCTGATGACGAACTAGCAGTCAAGATCTTGAGTGGCCTAGGTCATGAGTACCGTGAAATCACTGCCGCTATAAGAGCGCGCCACACAACCCTAAGCTTTGAGGAGCTATTCCAGAAACTAACAGACCATGAACTCTTTCTCAAACATCAAGATATTGACAGGTCATCCTCCATCATCACGACTGCAGTTGCACAAAGGATCAACTTTCAGCCGCAACATCAGAAGAATAATCGTCTCTTCCCCAATCAATATTCGAAACCACAAGCTCCATGATAGGTGGTCCCTGGAAATCAACAAAATGGGGGACAACCTAGGTAAGCAGTGAAATGCCAACTTTGCCAAAAGATCGGTCAAACAGCTGATGTGTGTCGCTCAAAATCGCACAACCACTTTGAAGCTAACGTCAACTTTGTGTCGAATCATCCAACAAATGCAAATCCTTGGATCCTTGATTCTGGAGCAACCCATCATGTCACAACAAATTAAGATAATCTTGAAGAATACACTGGCAATGAGGAAGTGTCCATGGGTGACGGTAAAACTATTCCAATCACTCACACTAGTTTAACTCAAATTAAGGCTTCTAACTCCAATTTCATGCTCTCTAACACTCTTTGTGCTCCAACTATGAAAAAGAACCTTATTTCTGTTGCTAAGTTTTGCACTGACAATCTAACCTCAATAGAATTTTTCCACGCTCTTCTCTTGTGAAGGATCTCAAAACTTGGAGACTACTGGTACAATCCCGGAATAAACATGGACTCTATGAGTGGCCCCAGAGGGATGATATGTCACCTTCCGTTAACTTCACCTCCACCAAAGTTTCCCGTCAACTGTGGCACCGTCGCTTGGGTCACCCTCATTTGAAAATCCTAGACTTAGTACTGAATAAATTTTCACTTCCCTTTACCACGAAAGAAAAGTTTCAGTTTTGTAATTCTTGCTCATCAAATAAAGCTCATTCTTTGCCATTTCAACGACTCACTTTAAATAGTAATGCACCACTTCAAACTTTGTTTAGTGATTTATGGGGTCCATCACCCATTTTATCTATTGATAAAAAGTTGTATTATTGCATTTTTGTTGATCATTACACCAAATATACTTGGTTGTATTGAATCAAAAACAAAAGTGAAGTTGCTTCAATTTTTGTGCAATTTCATCCTTTAGAAAAAAAAATTTAACACAAAATTGTCTCACTTTATACTGATGGAGGGGGTGAACACACAGGTCTTAAACACTGCCTACAATGCAATGGCATTGAACATTCAATCTCCCCACCCTACACACCCCAACGAGTTGCCATAGCTGAACGACGACACCGTCACATTGTCGAAACAGCTCGAACTCTTCTCAATGAAGCCGCACTACCATCTGAACTATGGTCCTTTGCCTATCACCATGCTATCTATCTCATAAATAGACTCCCTACACCTGGCCTGAATAATGATTCTCCTTATAAAAAATTATTTGGCGAAACTCCCAAATACTCTTCGCTAAAATTTTTTGGTTGTCTTTGTTATACATGGCTTAAACCATATACACAAAATAAATTTCATCCTAGATCTACACCGTGTGTCTACTTAGGAGTTTCTGTTGTTCATCATGCACACCTCTGTTTTGATCCAGTGCACTCAAAAATATTTGTTAGTTGTGATGTAAGATATTTTGAAGATATTTTTCCTTTTACTCAAATGTTCTCACACTTGAAAAATAAGTTTTCCATGTTAAAATGGGAAATCATAGAGTCCCAAGTCTGTAAGGATACTCTTTCAGAAGTCCAATACAACTTGGACTCCAATCTCGTTCCAACTCTTCCGCTGCCTATTCAAATCCCCGTAACAGTTCCCTCTTATTCAAACACCCCAGATTCCATAATTGAAAGGCAACTACCAGCAGTCTCCACATCATTAGGTATGATTCCTATCGCTTCTCAACCTCTTTCACTATTTAATGATGCCGCCCACAACACCTCTCCCCCATTACTTGATTCCAGTCATCCCCCACTAATATTGAACCAGCAGCCACTGAATCCTCCAGAAATTATGAAACCTGTCGCTGCCCCTTCACCCTCCGGTATGGTCACAAGGTCCAAAAATAATATATTCACACCAAAGAAACAATTCAGCTTTTTGGCTCACCATTCTCCCACTCCAAATACCTTTAAGAAAGCCGTGTAGCACATTCAATGGAAGAATGCCATGGATCTGGAATACAAAGCCTTAATGAGAAACCACACTTGGGAACTAGTACCTAGAGACCCGATGAACACTATTGTTGATTATAAGTGGTTATTTCGCATTAAAAGGAAAGTTGATGGTTTTATTGATAGCTACAAGGCGCGATTAGTTGCAAAAGGTTTCACACAATGTCCAGGATTAGACTTTCATGAAACTTTCAATCCGGTTGTCAAACCAACCACCATCAGAATTGTTCTCTCAATTGGAATTCAAATTAACTGGAAAGTTCAGCAGTTTGACGTGAATAATGCATTTTTGCAAGGTAACTTATAGGAGCAAGTATTCATGGCTCAGCCAAAAGGCTATATCAACTATGATTTTCCCAATTATGTATGTCATCTCAAAAAGGACATTTATGGGCTAAAACAAGCTCCACATGCTTGGTATGAAGCTCTCAAATCTCACTTGACTAAAATTGGGTTTGTTAAGTCTGAATCAGATGCTTCTCTATTTATTTTGGCATCTGAAGCTTTCACGATGTGTATTCTGGTGTATGTTGATGATATCCTCATTACTGGGAATTACCCAACCTTGGTCGCACATGTAATCAACTCTCTGGCTTACAAGTTCTCCCTAAAGAACCTTGGCGAACTCAACTATTTTTTGGGGATCAAAGTCAAACATGTTCCAAGTGGGATCTTCATATCACAATCCATATACATACTTCAGATTTTCTCAGATGTGGATATGGCCGACTGTAAAGGATTTACGACACCCATGTGCTCAAGTTCACCAGCCAAAGCAGACAATGGTTCACCTCTTGCCGATGCAACCTTGTATCAACGCACTTTTGGTAATTTTCAATACTTATCATTCACGCGTCCTAATATTGTATTTGCAGCTAACAAACTATCACAGTTTATGCAATCCCCGAGTTTGGAGTACTGGAAAGCAGTAAAAAGGGTTCTTCGATATCTCAAGGCATCCTCAACATCGTGTCTGAAAATCTCTCGCCACTCTGATAGTAATCTATATATGTACGCCGATGCTGATTGGGTGGGTGATCCCTGTGACAGAATCTCCACATCTGGTTACATACTCATTTTGGGACCAAATCCAATCTGTTGATCCTCTAAGAAGCAACAATCAGTTACTTGGTCTTCTACTGAAGCAGAATACAAATCGGTAGCCAATGCACTCTCTGAAATTACTTGGGTCCACAACCTGTTGAATGAGTTAAGATATCAAGTCTCGTAAATGCCAAGCATTTTTTGTGATAACATTGGTGTTTCATATCTCAGCAAAAACCCATTCTTCCACAGTAAGATGAAGCACATTGCAGTAGACTTTCATTACCTCCGTAACAGTGTGAACTCAAGTAGAGTGATAGTCAAATATCTTCCTGCCGTGGATCAAATTGCAGACACTCTCACAAAGCCGCTGCCCAAGCCTGCCTTCCTTCGGTGTTTATCCCAGTTAGGCGGTGTTGCACCACACCTAACTGGAGGGGGTGTGTTGAGATACTCAGTAGTATGTTATCAATTCTTATCAAGTTGTTAGAGTAGATATCATTTGATTCAATCTTTTCCACAAGATTAGATTAAGTTGTTAAAATAGTTACTTAGATTTAGTCAAGTTAGTTAAATATTAAGTTGTTAGAGTAGTCTCTTAGAATTAGTCAAGTTAGTTACATCTTACTTGTATTTAAGTTGATGTTACGATTGAAGAAGATCATTCAAGTTTGCTTTGATTCTTAATATCTTTAGTATTGAGCATCGATAAGGGGGAGAGTTTAGAAAACTCCCAACTCCCATAAACCATGCAAACATCATGGGTTGAATAGGGTGGGTCATACATTTTATATGATTCCTTACTGCTTTTTAGCATAGACTAGTGGATCAACTTACTAGTTAGGTTCTATACCCCAGGCAAGTTATAGGAAGGGCCTGGCAGCATGAGGCAAAGCGTTGTATCATCACATAGCTCTTAAGTGATGGTTGTTTATTAGAGAAACTCCCACAAAAGTATTTTGTATTCTTATAGGCGAAATGGTCTAGTGGACCCTTGTACTTGTATGTGTTTGTATTGTGAACTCTTCTACTTGTTCCTTTGTCATCTGAACCCCTGAATTCATCAAAACGCAATATTTTAAACACTTTTTTTACCACTCAACTGTGTGTGTATCACAAACGCCTGCCACGTAATTTTAAAAATAATTATAAAATGATACGTATGATTATAAAATGACACATGTATATATGGTCACTCCATGTAATTTTTCCTTTTATTATATTTAATTAATATACCTACACTTTCTCTTTCCAATTTTTATTTCTCTTTGCCATTGCCATCTGCATCTCCATCCCCACAATCTCATTTCAACTTTTTCTTATCTTCCTTACCCTTTTCCTTTTTCCAACCTCTTCTACTCTTTCCATTGAAGTATAAAATGTTGGCACGATTTCTGGTTGTTCACAATCTCGTTGGAGTTCGGAGTTGATTTTGGGTTATGTTGGATTGGGGTTTTGATGGTGACCGGTGGCGCTAAGGAAAAGTGGGGGTCTATTGGGTGGTCTGATTGTTTCTAGTTGTTCACAACTAGCGGCGTTGTGAAAGTTGAGACTTATTGGTGGAGTTAGTTTGGGGTTTTTGTTGTTGTTGTTGTTGTTGGTTCTCATTTATAGTTGTTGGTTGAAGCTTGTCGGAAATGGTGAGAATGAAGGTAGTTTGGTCGGAGAAGGTGAGGAGGATGAGAAGAAGGCAATGAGTTTGGGTTTGGTTTGGAACTGAAATAAGGAGTCAATGTCTAAAATTATTTGAGTTTTTTTGTTTGATTTTCAACTTATCTAGGTAGATTTTCCAATTTATTTTCCAATTTATTTGTTATTTAGTTTGGATTTGATCTCTATTTGTGTCTTTGTTTGGTTTGGGGTTTTAATCAATTACATTGACTTTGTTGAAATTCTTTGGCGATTTTGCATTTTTGTGCCTAATGTTTGTGTAAGATATTTCGGTAGTAGTGTTATGCCTTCCATGGTGTTTTTCATAGAAAAAGAGAGTCGTATAATAACAAGAAATGATAGAGAAGAAATT